TAGGTGACAGATGCTTGCTCTGCAAATGTGACAATGATATTTTGTTATATATTTTCCTTCAGTTTTTAAATTTAATTGTTAATGTACATTTTTAATCTTTTAAATTCAATTGAGAGCATTTTTAGATTCACAGCAAAATTGATTAAAAAAAAACAAAACAAAACAGAGTTTCCATATATCCTTTCTCCCCATACACAGTCTTCCCCACTATTAACATATCATGCCACGGTGGTACATTTGTCACAACTGATGAGCCAATATTGATGCATCCAGTTGATATCAGAGTTTACTCTTGTGTTATATATTCTATGGCTGAGACAAATGCAAGATGGTCTCCTCGGATCCATGCATAACATGTTCCAAAGCCCGAATAAATGTCTGAAACTATGAATAGTACTGAACCCTATATATAAGCATTGCATACCAGAGAGTTTACTCTAATAATGGAGACAGCTTAAACGACAAATTGTAGGGGAGAATATGCAACATGGATGTACTGGAGAAAGGAATAATTAGTATCTCAGATGGAATGCAGTAGAACAGCTAGAGATTTCTTCATACTACTCAGTCACTGTACAATTAAAACTTAAATACATTTTGTTTTTGGAATTTTCTTTTCAGTCTTTGTTTTTTAGTTTTTTTTTCAGACTATGGTTGCCCACAGTTAACGTAAACCAGGAAATGTAAAAACATGGAGCAGTAAGTGCTATTGAAAAATGACAATTTCCTTCAGTGTTTTCATTGTTTCAAAAGCCGATTCATTACATGATTTTATTTTTAAAAGGCATTGAAATATTTCTCACAAAGAGTGCCAGATAATGGCATCCAAATAATAGTCCTTATTCACCATTTATCTTTATCCTCTACAATAAGTTAGCTGGACATTCTACATTTAGTAGATAGTAATCAATATTTGCTGCATTAAGTTTGATGACCCAAATATGAACAAAAAGAAAAAGAATATAAACTTGAAAATTTCAGATAAATCATCATTATCTGTGTTGAATGTCTTCTATTCAAATAATAACTTATTGTTTGGTTATTATGAAATAGTGATAAACATCCCCAAAATGAAGGGAGATTGATCATTACTTACTGAAGATCACATAACTAAGTGAAATGATAGGTTTTGTTTTGAAGGCTTTCTTCAAAACTAAAACATATCTTTTAAAGCATCAAATGTAGTATTCATTCATCAGGAGGAATACCACCCAGCAGGCAAGGATTCTCAAAGCTCAGTATGTTTTTATTTTTCCAATGGAATGGGGCTTTTCCGAAGAAGAGATAAAAATGCTTTGAACATTTTAATTCTAGCCATAGGGTCTTCATTCTTCTACAGATACTATCCAGAAATGCTTCATCTGGTGAAAAAAAAATCCTTTCACTGCAGAAGCTTTAATTTTTATACTAAACCCAGCAAGATTCAGATCTGTTAATCCTTCAAAAATGTATAGGTTTTAACAATGTCCTTATAAACAAAAGTAATGAAATAATAATAAATTTTGATACCTGTCTTTAACAAATGATACTCCTCCATTCGTTATTATGATGGGAACTTTTTGGTTAGAATGAATGACAACTATGCTTTTCTGTTTTGTCATTATATATATATATATATAGTTTTCCTATAATTTTTACTCACAACAGCTCTAAGTAAGCACTCTTATTACCTCATCTTACTGATGAAGAAAAGCAGGCAGGTATACATTGCTTTGATCAAATTCCATCACCATTGATCAGCTAAGGTGGTTGAACTTAAAATGCTCTGACTTGTGTTACACTTTTCCCATTGCATGCTAACTAGAGGTTTTCATGATTCGTCTTAGAGCTTTCACTGAAATTTTAAAGTAAAGATATTCTGCCTATCATCACCATTGTGGGGCTAGAACACAAAACACATAGGACAGAGAATGACTTAACTATCCTAATTGAGTTTTCTGGCTATCTACAGTTTTGTAACAAGCTCCTCAAAACCGAGTTGCAATATTTCCAATGTTTTTGAGGTGACTGGCATTAATGGAAGAAGAGGAAACAGACTATCTGCAAAGGAAACAATTGTGGAAGAATTCACAGGCAGGGAAAACATAAAAACTGGGTTCATAAAAAAGAGATTAATGTATCAACATTCCTTTTTTTTTCTCTCTCTCTAAGGAATACTCCAGAGGTTTTTAGTCTTTCCTAATGAAAACTCTCATGACAAAGTTATAAAGACTGTATATTATCTACAACAATATTATAAATATAAGTGCTGACAATATTTTCTGATCCTAATATGCTGATAATATTTGCTGATCCTTCTAGGTGAAGGATCAGCCTATATACTAGATGGAATCACAAAAGTAATGTGGAGTATTTAAAATCTCTTGATACTGCCACCTCCATCATCATTTTTAGTAGTGCTTCAGTTGGTTCTTCCTGTAAGCATTAGTCTATACTAGTCAGCCTCCTAGGTTTGCATTTACAGTGGGTACAGCTGGTGGTGTTATTTGTGTCTGTTTCCAGACACCATGTGGAGGAGGATGATGCCTTTCTTCATGAGGAAATTTAATAAATATTCTTTCTGACCCCAAGTAGTTAAAAAGTACCTATGGTTCCCTGAGAGTAGCTAAAGAGAAATATATATGCTTATAATTTTTTGTATTTAGGAGAAACAGATTTTCTAAAAATATTTTTCTAGGTCTATAAATTAAAAATAAATAGGCACAATAAGAAGAACACAAAGTTTTAACCATTGCTAGCAGTTCTTCCTGATGAAACCTACTTGATATGAAATAAGATTATGATATTACTAATTATTGGGCATTTTGAAACAGGTAGATCACAATTCTCTATCAATTAAAATTATCTTTATCTTCATCCATAATGTTAAACTTAACCATGTCAGGACTTTAACTGATACAAATAAGTTTACCCTTAAGAAGCAAGGAGGCAGAAATAAGGAAGATTAAGGTTCAAAGCCAGCCTAGGAAAATAGTTCACAAGACCCTATCTTGAAAAAATACTTCACAAAGAAGGGAAGGTGGAGTGGCCCAAAGTGCAGGCCCTGATTTCAAACCCCAGTATGGCACACACATACACACACACACACACACACACAAAGCAAGAGGTTTACTAATGATCTAATTAGATATTAAGATCAAATTATTTTAATATGTCTAGACATCTCATTAAATTTTATCATATACATTCAAAGAACATTACAGAGTTTTTGTTGTTACTATGTTCCCCAGTGGTACTAGGGTTGAAACTCAGGGCCTCCAGCTTCATAGGCAAGCTCTCTATCACTTGAGCTACACTGCAGCCCTCATTGCTTTAGTTTATTTTTGTATAAGGTCTCTCACTTTTGGCCAGGCTGACTTCAGACCTTGATCCTCCCACCTATGTTCCTTGAGCAGTTGGGACCACAGGCATGTGCCACCATATCGAGCTTGTTTTTTGAGATAGGGTCTTGCTTAATTTTGCCCAGGGCAGGCCTCAATCAACTTCATTACTCCTGTCTCTGCCTCCCAAGTAACAGGGATCACAGGAATGCACAAACACAGAAATTTTAAAAGAATCAAAAATGTGCTATCAGGTAGAATAAGAGCTTATGTACTAAGTAAAAAAATACATTTTATGCATATGTTTATGTATATATGTTTATATATACATCTATATAATATTTCAAGAAGTTCAACTTGCACTTGATAAATAATACATGATAAAATTCTAAACAATAAGATTTATACACATAAAAGCAGAGTAGATTATACATTGGAAAGTAATAAACTTTCCATCAATAGTGAATAGATTTGATCAAAATTACACTGTGATTTTGACAAAATTAACATATTGTGTAATAAAAGAAACTAACCTTATCTGAATTCCATTTGAGGAAAGTCCTTTCAAAAATGTAGGAAGTTCACCTCTGTGTGATTCTATACATACGGAGCATGACAATTTTCTCAAGAAAAGTCATCTTTGAACCACTAATGTAGATCCCCAGTAACTTATTGATTCATAACCAAAAACTTCATTAACATCTGAATAACAGAATATATTAGACCTGGGGGGAAATAAGCTTGCTACTGGAATCCCATATGCTGACAAGTACAGATCTTTTTAAATATTGGAATGATTTTTTAATATTATAAACTAAAGAACTATGTGGTTTTTAATGATAGATTAATTCCAGGTTTTATGAATACAGTAATACTGGGAAAATGCATGAACATACTCAGTGGTAACACATTGATTTAGGAAACCTATGGCTTAGTTACAGTAAGAGAAAGAAAGAATTATTTTTACAAGTTTAAATCTTTGAGTGTAGGATAATAAATCTAAATGCTAATGACAATTGCATACTTAAGGTACATGTTATGTCCCAACTTAATGATTAGCATAAGAAAAACTTGACCCCAATTTATTTAACAGTGTCTACATTTATTCCCAATTATTCCCTTATATGAGCCACAATCAAAAGGGTCTGATCCACTGTCTTTCAGTGCTTGCTATACCCTGAGAAGGTAAGGTAAAGTATACTCCAGAATAATACATACCACATTAAAATGGCTTAGCATTTTTAATTTTCCATTACTTAGAATTCATTTGCTACTGGCTATACTAAAACAATAATCACACACTGAAAAAATATTAAGTAAAATTATAGTTTACGTATCCAATAGATCAAAATATTCCATTTATCTTCATATTTATAACTACATAAAAGTTAAACATTACTAGGGAAAAAAGAAGACAAATAAAAATAATATGACCAATTGCCAACTATGGCATATTAATGCACTTATAATTCAAATGCTATCTTTAGGAAAGTTTTAATTGATTTTTTTAGTAAAAAACTATTATGACAACTTGTGATAGGCTTACAAATTCATCTTTAATTCACTTTCTTATTTTTCATCTTGACTACTGGAGTACAGAAAGAGTTATATTCCTATTACATTTAATAAATGAAGTAAGCATCATGAATGATGAGTAAGTCATCAATAAAAGCTACTTACCTGCATGGAAATCTATTCCCACAGCAAATGCAGCTCCTGATATTGGCATCAAAGCATCCATTTTGTCACTTGGTTCAAGAGGTATTCCCCTGATTCCTTCATGGACAGAGTACATAAGAAATGATTCTATACCTAAATTAGAAAGGAAAAACTCAAAATGAATATTAAAATTATCAAAATTAAAATAATTTCATTAGTATGATTTTTTAAAATATTAATTTACATTAAGAATTCCTATTCCTTGGGATTTTACTATTGTTTTAATTGTACACTACCTATTCTGACTGGTTGAAGGTAGGGAATTCATGGTTCTCAGCCTTAAGTATGCATCACAATTCCCTAAAGGGGTATTAAAACAGGTTACTGGGGCTCATTTCTGGGCCTGATAATGTGAAATTGAAAATGGCCTCATTTTGTAATGTTGCTCCTGTACAGGAAGACCACTTTCATAAGTACTGAGGCAGATAATGACTGGAAGAAGATCTGGACTCATGATTAAAATTCATTCTCTCTTCTGTAAAACTCCAACCATGTCTTAACTTACAAATGATAATAAACTTGATTTTTAGATAGCTATATTACTGTTGTTCTGATAGACACTTAAATTTCTAAAGGGACAGTTTACTTCTTAAATTCTTTGAACATTAAAAATTACCAAGTACTTAGTTTTTGCTATTAATATCTTTCTTTTCCAACATCACAACCATGTCCTAAAATAATCATGTAAATTTAAGCTTACTACTAGCAGTCTACATGCTAATTAACACTCATGAATTTTGCTAATGTTAGAAAATATTTGTACACATGTTCTTATTAATATCAAAATGCCTAGATTTAAATTTGTCTACCACCTAGTCACCTGTGACTAGGGCATGTTACTTCTCTGTAACTTAAGTATAAAAATCAGATAATAGAGGTCTGCCTCATAAGGTTGTAAATATTAAGTGAATTAATATGCATTAGTGTTAGAATGAGGCCAGGCATCAAATAAATGAAATATAAATAATTTATTTAAAATGAAAGAATAATATTGACATACATATTTCTCAAGATTGAAGCTTCTTTGAGGATAAACGTTGTCTCTGATCAGAGGATATAAAAGGTCATGCTAGAACTAAAGTTCTTTAGAACTACTAGAACTAGAAAATATAAAATTTGAAATAGGAAAGTAGATTTCTTAGGTTACAGTTGTTTTTTAGAAGTTCTCATCTCCCTCGTTATGTAAACCTTTGATACTTTCTTTAAAATACTTGAAAAAAAGTAAATATAACTAATTCAAATTGTGCATTAACCTGGCAAATCAATGATTTTTTTTTACTTCAACTTCTTCTTGTTTAGATTGAACACAGAAGCTAGTATATTTGGTTAAATGTTTAGAAATAAACTGAAGTTGTTGAAAATAATTTAAAATTTAAGAAGTCCTGCCAGGCACTGGTGGCTCACACCTGTAATCCTAGCTACATAGGAGTGGGAGGTCAGGAGAATTAGAGAGGTTTGAGACCAGCCCAGCCAAATAGTTTGTGAGACCTGGTCTTGAAAATAACCAACACAGAAAAGGGCAGACAGAGTGGCTCAAGTGGTAGAGCATCTGCCAAGCAAAAAAAGAAAAAAATATATTAGGAAGTCCTATGAGAAAGAACAAGATAATATTTTTTAACTGACTTTCGTAGCCTAAAGTCTTCTTGGTATATAATGACAGATGAAGTTAGTACACCAGGACTAAAGTGTTTCAGAAAGATATACCTTGACAAGACATGCGGTTCTTCTGCAGGTAGTATCCCACTGTACACATGCAAGTCCTTGTCATTTCGGATGTCGGTAAGCAAAGCTGAGAGCATCCACCATTATTTAGGTGGCAAGAATTGCTGCCTGCATAGAAGGAAAACAAAACAAATTTTTAAAAGAAAGCTAAAATTATGAAAAATAGTTTTTTACAATATCAATAATGTGAACAAATACTTATGCAATTAACATCTAAATGCAGTGGTTTCATATTGATTTTAATCAAATTTTGTTCTAATAATTTGAAGTAGCAAATTTTCATTGAATTCTGCCCTTCAAATTAAATAGAGATAAAATTCCTACTTACAGTAAAGCCAAAGGAAATTATTTGTCATGAATTCTGTCATAGACCTTTGACATATTTTAAGAACACAGAAATCAGGAAGCATTTCATTTTTTACTCTAAAACTTTAATTCTCTTCATTTATTTCCTTTGCAAGAATATTTTATTTCAAATGTGTCACAAAAATAGTTGTTAAATTATGTCACTAACTCAACTTTAATTTATTTCAAACCAAGGAAATAAATTCATCCTTCCCTAGAAACATATTAAAAACATACCCATAATAATCATTTAATGAATTGGCATAATAATCCTCTTTATTCCTGTGTAGTAGTAATCAAAAATATTAGTCAGGCAATCACATGATGTTCCATTGAATTCACTAGGCCCAGTGTGCTAATTAAAACTGATAGAGTAAAGTTAAGTGATTTATTATCTTACCCAAGAAGTTCATCAAACATCCTATTTTTATGATTTTTCATTATTCTAGGACATGCAATGTCATTTGCTGGATGTTCAAGCTCTGATATGTGGTGCAGTAAATCCAGTTAGAATGACAAAACACAATGAAAGCTACATTTCAATAGTGCTCTATGGAAAATCCAAAATGCCAATGCAGGTCATTACTTCCATTTTCCTGAATTCAAGAGAGTCTATTGGGATTTAACTCTTCAATTCAACCTGTCACAAGCTGAGTAATTTTTGAAAGGTGAGATATTTCTGTTTGGGGGTTTTCTTATCAGAAGATTCATTCCGTTCTCTGCTCATTTCCTGTATCTACCATTCAGTCAACACTGAACTCCATCTCAAGCAACCTGCACATTTCAAATAACTACATTTATTTTTTGCATTAACTAATGGAGACTAATTGACTCATTCTTCCTTTCCTCAAGCTTATTTATTAAGACAATATTTCAGATCAATGATATGTTTAACAATGAGACAATTATATGAATAAGTATGCAATAATCCTATACTGACTATGTACATACTTCATTTTTTAGAAAGCATATGGATGTATATTAGCATAATGCCTATCTAAGAAATATAGATTTAGATACAGGCTTATTTTAACTCACCCTAAAGACTGAAAGCCTGGGAAAACACTGGAAAGCAATGATTAAATATAAACTTTGAGTACTGGAGTCATGGTTCAAATGGAGGAGTGCCTGCCTAGCAAAGCCCTGAGTTCAAACCTCAGTACAGTCCAAAAATCCTAAAAATATATATATATATAAAGCTTGAGAGAATAGGGCTGGAGGTAGAGCTCAAGCAGTAAAGTGCTGACTTTGCACATGTGAAGCACTGAGTTCAAATCCCAGTTTTACCAAAAAAAAAGTTTCAGTGAATAACACATGGGGAGGAGAAAGAAGAGAAATGAAGAAATGAAAAAAACAGGGCAAAAAGAATGAACTTATTAAAAATAAGAGAAAACGAGGGATTATATAGTCTAGATAAAACAGGTGAAAAAATTAATTAAAAGAACTTCTGAGGCTATATAATTTTTCATACAATTTATAATATTAGCAATAAATTTTACTGTTTGTTGATAAATAATAAAATTAATGCATCTTAACAATAATGTACACTATTTCACAAATAGTTTTGGTGGGGAAATTCATAGTGAAGGAGAGGAAAATTTTAAATAATGTAATGAATCATATTTTACAATAACTATCTTTTCCTGTTAAATATACACGGAAGTAGGAAAATATTTATAGTGATTTTCAAAGTAATAATTTATGTTGTAATTAGCTATCAGGTTAGAAATACTAGCTTAGATTAATATTTTGTAATGACATTGATGTTTGAACCTCAAGCCCCAAATGACTAGTGTAGATAGAAAGTCTTTTTGACTAACAAGAAGTCTGAAGTCTCCAGTGATCTGTGACAAAAATGATAAATGAAGTAGCTAATTGTACTTTGAAATCCAAAGAGGCAGTAACGCTAACACCTTAAAGAGGTTTAAAATGCTCATATTTCATACTAATGAAGCTTTTAAGCTATCTGTAGTGATTCTGTTAATGGGGTTGTCTTTAATGCAGGTGCTTTTACCAGCATATTCTTCTAGCAAGAATGGAATTTCACTACATCTTAAACTTAGTCGTATCATACCACTGATATTTAAGCATTCGAGGTACTCCTAAGTACAATGATACTTTCACGTGCATACAGCACCTAACTGTACCTACAGGATCAAATCTTTAAAATAAAGGAAATCTTGTTAACAAGATCAAAGAGCATAATATCATACTAAATATTTTCTCTCTGGAACTTCATCTTGAATAAATTGATATATTCAACTGTAATTTCAAACAAAGCATATGCTTGTTCACATTTTGAAAAGTGGTACAGTATTTTTGTTTGCTTGTTTTAGATGCCCTGTTTGGAATTGGAAATCAGATATTTTCATATTTTCACTCCCTCATTCTCTCTCTTTCCTTCTCACTCTTCTGTTTTCTCTCCCTCTTTGTGTATTATATGTTCTAACTGTATCTTTAGATACAGTTTCATAAGTTTTTGTAGCCAACAAATACATTATATTGAAAAAAAAATCTATGAAAATGCCCTGATATATTTTATCTACTGACCCCTTTCCACACTGTGGGAATGCCTATAAATTTATTTATCTATTTGTTTGTTTGTTTATGTTGCAGTTTTGGGGCTTGAAACAGGACCTCCTGCATGTTAGGCAAGCACTTCAACATTGAGCATATTTCCAGCCTCAATTATTTATTTTGATACAGAAAATATTGTAGTGCTAAATTGCTAGTAAAAAATACCCCATTCAGACAGTGATAAAAATATGTCCAAGACGGAATGTAGCTTTGTGCACAAGAGATTAGGAGTTGATATCGTCTCAATTAAAAGAATCCAATAATCTTTTCAGAGTAAGTCTTAAACAGTCCTTTTCTGTTAAAGTTGTTATTTTTTCATGAAAAAAAAATGTATTTCTCTCTGACCCTAGCAAGTAAGAACTACAGAACAAATGTGACCCCTCTGTGCAGAGCCAGCAAGCCTGACTGTGGTCTCCACTTGGGATCGTGTTGCACAGGCAGGCTCTTACCTGGTATCCCCAGTAAGCCCTGCCTGCCACAGGGTTTTCACCTGTCCTCTGACATAAAGACCACTTGGTTCTCTACTCTTCACCCAGTGCTGTTTTTGCATTGGTCTATATGTTTTAAATAATTCGGATGAAATCCTTTACTTTTTTTTGGTCATTAAATTTTTATTAAAGCACACATTACATATATATATGTGCAATATATGCACATATATATATATATATATATCACAGACATTTTACTTGACATTAGCATGGTTTATAATTTTTAAAATTTTAGTTTAGCTCCAGATGTCCCCTAGCATAACCTCCTTTTAGGTAGAGTCATTACTCAGGCAAAAACAAAGCAAAGTCTATTGTATTTGAAAAACTTCAGAAAATTATATTCTAAAAACTCCCTAAGTCATTCAACAAATACTTTTTTCCAAAACACAGTGCTTAGCATCATGGATATGCAAAGAACAGAGAATCTTACTTTTGAATGCCTTATGTGGCTGATAATTTAACTCATCAAATGCAAACAGCAATACTAGGATGTAAATATGATGATCACTAGTGTAAAAGGAGGAAAATGAGGTCTGAGATCATCTAGCTGACAGCAGGCAGAGCCCCAGCCATGTTGAAGTTATTCCCGTATGACACAGAATCTACCCTGTCCAGGTATATAAGGAAATTTGGACCACAATTCATAATATTGAGACACATTCAAACCTAGATATAGATATCCAAAAATTGGAAAATTACTTGCTTTCTTTTTTCATTTTTTGCAATGTATCAAATATACCATACTTGGAGTGTCTAAAATTGTCCTTGAAAAATTTTCCTAAGGAAAGTCTATGAAGCCAAAGATTTTTTATGAAAGAGACTAAAATAAGGAAGAAGAATATAGAAAAAGTTCCTTTTTGGGAAGTGAGTTCTGCTAATGTCATGGATCATGAAGCAAAAACTAAGAAAGCACTAGCAGGTGTGCAGCTGTACTGGCTGGCATCTCTAATCCAATTGCCATTTGGGCAAGGTGACAAGTCCACCTATGTAAACCATCTGTTAGTTCTCTTACTCCATTTCACTGCACACCATTTGGACAAGCAAAGACAAAAAAGCAAAATTCTCAGAGCCAAACAATAATGATTTTGGATATGAAACTCTCATGTCACCATAGTCCATTTGAAGCCCTGTAGTTCATTCAGTTTCTGGCTTCATTATACATGGTCTATGTTTTCACGGGATACTTCTTTATTCTTATCTTCTTCAGTCAAGTACTGGATAAGAGGTAGTTGAAAACCTGACAAATTAAGATTCCTAGAGCAGCTTTGCTAATGTTTCCAAAGCTCAATATGCACCTTATCTTAAAGATATTTCTCTTACAGTATCAAGTAGCATTTGTCTTTTTTCCTGTTTTTTTTATTAGCAGCAAGGATAGGAACCTTTTATTGTTGAAATGAAGAAACAGTATGAAAAAAAGAGAGCATTATAAATTCAAAAAGTGGCATAAATTTATTGCTGTGTCACATACCTTGCTGTGCATCTGTATCGTACACTTTCATATGAACAACCCCAGAAGTCTTATTTCGTAGGATGGTAGGGTTTCTCCCATCTCTTTTGCTGCAGGTTCCCAGCTGAGCTAAGTTTTGGTCTGCCCACCAGAGTTTCTTATCTATAAAAAAAACGATTTTTTCAAAGAATGAAATCACCTTATTAAATAACATAAAAAGCTATGAAAATATTATACTTTTTAATTTCTTGTGCTAAATTTTCAAATTCAGTTTCTAATGAGAACACTGATGTCATTTTTACTTTTAAAAATGCACACCATAGTGACATTTTATCCTTCAAACTTTCCTCCTCCCTCTTGAGATTCATCACTTTAACTATTCTTATATATTACATAGCATAAGTACTATGTCAATGTAAATAAAAATATGTTTCAAAGATAGATATAGATATCCAAAAATTGGAAAAATTACTTTTTTCTTTTGTTCACGTTTTTATTGTTTTGCTCAGTGGGGGTGCATTGTGGTATTTACAAAAGTTCATACAATGTATCTAATATATCATACTTGGACTGTCTAAAATTGTCCTTGAAGAAATTTTCTTAAGGAAAGTATATGAAACCAAATATTTTTATGAAAGAGACTAAAATAAGGAAGTAGAATATAGAAAAAGTTTCTATATGTTTCAAATTAGTATGGAATATGGGTGGATTTTATTATTGATATACTTAAACGTGACTATGGAAAGTCTGCCTCACCCAAGGACTTATTACAAGAGATTTTGACCAAGCAGGTAAAAGAAATAAATGAATAAAAACAAATTTCAAAACCAAAAATTTTAAATTCCTACATATGCATTCTGCAGCTCAGCTGATGTGGCGAAGCTCTCAGTCAGTCCCAGTTTATCATCAGTTGTATCTAAATCATTGTGCGACTTCCTGAGTTTTCCTGTCCTTATTTTGTGAAAATCTATCTCCCAAAAAAAACCAAATCATGCCCAAAAAGCAAGGTAAAAATTATGATAATTATCCCAAGCCAAAAAGGGCAAGTAATGTGCTTAATTTAATTGATTAAGTAGCGATTTAAGATTTATTGAAAGGTGAGTGTTTAGCGGTAGCTGGACAGTGTTTGGGGAAAAATGAATCATGCATCTGCAGAGTGACTCTGAACTCCATGCATCCTGAGCATGTTCAGTTTTTCCTCAACAACAGTCTCCTTGTGGTATCCATGAACCATGGATACCAGGATTTTACTTTGTAATAGGTTTTTTTCTGCTGTATTTGTAACATTGCAAAATCCAGCAAAATACCTAAGAAAAACTTATAAAAAAGATAATATTCTCCAACTTTCTATTCATTAAAAGTATGCAGGCTTTCATTTGGATACTCCATTGCTGGACTCCTTCTCCCCTTTGTTTTTTTTTTTGAGACAGGTTTTTCCTATGTAGCCAAGGCTGTCCTGGAACTCATTATGTAGCCCAGGCTGGCCTTGATCTCACAATCCTCATGTCTCCCTTTATGGAGTGCTGGGATGACAGACATGGTACCACTATGTCCAGATTCTTCATAATTGTAGCAACCTCTTTTATTTCTTGCAGTGTTTGTGACCCATTCTCTAAATTTTTATTATTTTATTGTACTAGGAAGATATTTTGCCAACAACAACTTAAATTGTAGAAGAAAATAAAACATAAATTAATTATGTTAATTATTGCCCAAACATATTATGGCCCAAACATAAATTAATGAATGTTTAAAATAAAGGCAATTCACCTTTATTTTATGGCCCAAACATAAATTAATGAATGTTTAAAATAAAGGCAATTCACCTGGCCTTGTGGTATCATTTCTCTGTTAAAGTGATTCAGAAGTTAAAGCATGGCAAAAGAAAATAAACAAATGTAATTCTAATACACAATTCTAAACTACTCTATCATCCCACTAAATTCCACTTGTTTTGTTTTAAAGTTAACTTTTAAACAAAACTCACAGGATTTATGAGTTTAGTGCAGGGTCTGTCTATCCACCTATCTATATATGTATGTATATAAATACATAGATTCTTATTGCAGTCTAACAATAAAGTAGACTAAATAAATAAAGTGTAGTTGGTGAAATATTTACATGAAAGTCAAAAGAAAACAAGATTATAAAGAAGAACATTCTCATCAGAGAAAAATGTAGAAGCAAAACATGATTTGGAAACTAACAAAAGTAAATAGACATTGAGTACAATGTATACAGTTAGAAAGTAATGGATAAAAGAACCAAAATAATAGAAATCTTTAGAAGAGAAAAAATTAGAAATAAGATAAATAATTAGAGTTATCTTTCATATCAGAAAATTAATGCATGAAAGTTGAGAATTTGGTAGAACACTAGAAGAACTCATATCAAACAGCCATAAAAGATCTGTCTCTGAGAAGTGAGACTGAAAATGGGAGGGTCAGAGAAAAAGATACTGCTATAGATACTGACATTATTATGTGCATATTACTTCAGAAATAAGATTTATGAAGCTTATAAACATATTAAAATAAAAATTGTGAGCATAATTGAAAATGAAAATGAAATTTAAGTTAAGTGTAGGATCCAGAGCCTTCTGGGCTGGTCTCTCTCACTCGAGGAAAATGCCAGGCCTCCTTTTGTGGCCCTGTTGGCAGCAGAGGTCACCCTATAATCCAATCCTGTATGATATGGGGAGGATGGGGCTTCTAAGCATAGCAAAAAGCCATGTTAAGTTCCCACACAAAGTTACTGAGGGTGACCAGTTAAACTCTGATGGGGTGGTAAAGGATAGATAAATAAATGGGAGCAGGGACTGAACCCAAAGAACCACAGCCTAGAGGACTAAAACCAATAAATCCTTTGCCCATGGAGAACCATTAGGACTTGGACAACAGGTATCACAACAGTGACAGACATGAAATAAAGACCACAAGCATCATGGAAAAACTTTTCTAGGTTATTACACTCTTGGAAAACATATTTTTAATCACTCCTACTGCTTGCTTAAGATCCTTCAAGGTCTATTAATTATATACTGCCTCAAATTCAAAATTCTCTGACATTTTAAAAGCTTTATGTATACTGAATGTATTCTAGCTTCTGAGACTTCCTCTCCACTCATCAGTCTTATTATGTCACGGTATCCACTCCTTTGTTTATTCAACCAATATTGGGCATTGTTACAGCATGGCTATGGTTTAAGTGTGTCCCCTTAATTTTCACATATTGAAATTTAATCTTCATTGTGAGGTGTGATGGGAAGCAACAACCCCATTATGGTGTTTAGATGTGGGACCTTTGGGAAGTGATGAGTGTTAGATGAAGCCATTAGGGTAAAGTCCCTATGGCTGAATCCTAGTGGCTTTATAAGAAAAAAGGAGAGAGACCAGAACACACACACACACACACACACACACACACACACACACACACACACACATGCCTCCTTTTATTAAAATGTATCCAGTCTGTAGTATTGTGTTATTAGCAACAGAAAATGGACTAATAGGCATCTGTTAGTTGTAAAGTACTATTGTAAATAGTGGGAAAATGACAGAAGACAAATAAGATGACTGCCTTTATAGACTCTATGTCCCTAGGTTTTAGTGAGATAGGCAGACATGAAATATGCTAACCAGAAAAAATAATAAGTAAGTGAAAATATGATTAGTGTTATGAAGAAAATAGGCACCATTCCATAATTTATGTGCTTCTACTCCTTATACATATCTGAATTTTACCCTTCAGTGAAAGACTTCCTGCCAAGGCACATTGATATACCTTCCCCTCCCTGAATCAACTCTGAAGCATCTGTGAAGTCATATGGCTCTACATTTCATTGTTGCTTTTGCTATTTGTTTCACTTCTAATTGTTTTGACTCCTTATCCAGAGATGAAAGCTCCTGAGAACAAGGATCCTGACTTTGCTTCTTTGTATTCTTCACAGTGTTTTGCATTTCTTTGAACTGAACATAATGTAGACACTCCCTTAGTACAGTGAAATGACTTTGGAAGTACATATCCCTAAAAATATATCCCATTTCAATTCATAACTTAGAAAAACACTTGAATAAGGCCACCTCTCTGATTCTCTGTGGATATAAACTCAACTCTTTTTAAATATTATCCTTTTTAAAGATCCTCTAGCATGAAGAAATTTGTTTCTGAATATAATTATTACTTGTAGTCATTTTAGTTTCTCTCAACTTTTTTATTTCATAGCATTATCAACATAAATATGATAGAAATTTCTGAAATTTTCAGAATTCAAAAATTGCTTAAATCATATATAAATGTAGGTCAATGAACTACCCCCCCCCAAAAAAATTAATATGCTGAAGTGTTAACCCCAGTTCCTAGACTATGGTGATATTTGGAGATATGGAATTAAGAAGATAGTGAAGCTAAAATTTGTCCTTAATCCAGTATAACTGGTGCCCTTGCAAGAAGAGGAAATTTGGACAGATATGTGCCCAAGAAAGGTTTTGTGAAAACAGAAAGAAGATGACCATCTGAAAAATAAGTAGAGCAACCTCTAAAGAAACCAACTCTCCTTAAACTGTGATTTCAATTTTCTCAGCATCAGAATTGTCAGAAACTCAATTTCTGTCATACTATCCAGTCTGTGGGACTTTGCTATGGCAGCCCAAGAAAATCAATACATTCACTAGTAGAGATATTGGAGAAATTTATGAAATATAAAACTGTAAATGTAAACAGATTCTACTACACAGTCTCCAAAGCCATCACCAAGAGAAGAGGGAGAAAGAGAGAGAAAAAAAAGAAATAACATTTAATGAGCACCTTCTAAGTTCCAGGCCCTTTGATAAGCTCTGAATATAAGCAAATAAAATTTCCTTATTTAGTAATCATAGATGAGATATTATGTATGTGGTAACATACCTACAAATAAAGATAAGCAAAATCAGTGACCTTCTAACTGTCATGGAGAAAAAAATGTGAGGAAATTTACAGAGAGGGTTGACCATGGGAGATATATCTTAAATGTGGGCAGCACCATCCCATATGTTCAGGGCCCAAAAGCAATAAAGGAGAGGAAAAGGAAAAAGGTGATTAGAACAATCACTTTCTCTCTCTCCCTCTCTCTCTCTCTCTCTCTCTCTCTTACCCCCTGTGAATTGCTTTGTTTCACCATG